CGGCCCCCACCGCTTAAAAATGAAAATATTGGATCAATCTTTGCGGTGGAATTAAGAGCCATTTATGAGCTTTCGAACTGATATAGTTTCGATTTTTAAGCTTCACCCCCTTAGTCCTCAAACAACCCTTAATCGATATCGACTCACGCCCCCCCCCCCCGAAAAACTAAATTCATGCTCAGCGTGACGAGCTCAAAAATTTTAATTTGCGGAATATAAAAGCTCATAAATAGCTTATAATTTTGCGCTATTGGTTTTTTTATTTGTGCAATGTGGGGGGAGGGGCAGCTCGACAGGGGTAAATTTTATATTTCTATTAAGTGTAATTTCACGCAATTTCTTCTTGTCTTGTGAATTTTTATTTTATTATTATGCATCTTTCAAAATTTTTTGGTGAACGCTTTTATTAAGAAAAAAAAATATTTGCATTAGATAAAATATTATCAAGTACTTCTCGTTGAGCATTCACATACTTTTTCACGTTTGCTCTACATTTCCTTTGACAAGCCGAGAAAAATGTTCACTCGACAGATACAAAAAATCGCATTAATTCGCATTAGTAATAATTTCGCTTGCTTAACCGTGTGAGAAATGGCAATTATCGAGATAGATTGCTCCGCGTTCATAGATCGTATTGATTATCATAAGTATGTCTCAAGTTTAGCCCGTACGTACGTCATAAGGTCGCGGTCTCCGCCTCGGGGGAACACATGATCATCGATAGAAATCCGACTTCTACTTACGATATAAGATCGAGGCGGTGTCCAGTTTGGCGCAGGATTCCGAGGCGAGCTTCGTGCGTGTGTAACACTGGTTGAGAGCTTGAGAGAACACCTCGATAACGTTTCGCGACCTCTGCTGCAGCCGGATACACCGTACGCAGTCTTTCTCGCCGTATCTGCAACAAGCAAATACCATAACATTTACATTTACATAATTCTGTATAATTATATGCCGTGTGTTATAGTATTATAATATTCGATTCCCACGTTCCACTTTTTTAATACGATAACACTTGTTGAAAAAAAAAAGAAATCTTTTTATCTGATAACGCTGTATTTTTAATCTCTATTTCTAATTAAAAATCTATACACAAATCTGTGAAAACACAAATTATTTAATTTTCACAACAATGAAAGGATGTCGTTTGCACAAATCGCGAGCATCATGAGAATAATATCGATCGTTAAAAAACTCGTCATCAAAGTTATTTTAAAATACTTTATATCCATGTTTCTTATCCTTGAGATTCATGAATTTCTCACAAATTAAAGACATGCTGACATAAAATAATACTAATGGCTGTATAATAGGAGCGCGATGGCGTCTCGATTAGAGCACGTATTAGTGCTTTCGTGACGAGCCTTTCGTGTATTAACACTCGGCTTACCGCGGCACAGGAAGTTGACAATGACAAGTGTAAAAAGAAAAAAAAAAGAACAAGGATTCTTCTTGTTGCGATGCCAACGACTCGGTGTGGCAACATGCGACATCCCGTTACCTCGAAGTCGTCTGAATTAAAAATAGAAGGAATTTCGCTGGAGAAAATTGTAAAAATTAAATATATGTAAAAATAATGATCCGCCAAATTGTTTGCTAGTCAATTTTACGTTCCTCGAAGCATCTACAATTAAAGAGATCGCTTCGAGACACCGCGTACATCGTCAAGGTTTGTCTTGGCTGGAGGTATTGACTTTTAAAGACGGTTTAAAAGCAGGCTAAGATAAAGAAGAGCAAACAAAGTAAAATAGAACGAGCGGATAAATGTTGGTTCGCGCCGTGAACATCTGGGAAAATCCATTTTGTGGAAACGTGTAGCATTTGTGCAAGATAATGGGAACCGGTATGTACAGGGCGGCACGTTTTGCTATCGCGCTATCACGGCGCGCTATCTACTCGCTTTTCACACACGATTACGAAAATGACAGTGATTGCGGAGGAGTCATTTGTCCGACGGTATCCCGGTGGTGTGTGCACCGTGTGTTCGCGCAACGAAAACGCCGTCACGGTAAAGATGTTATTTAAATAATTGCGAGCTATTAGGGTAACTGCATAACGTGCATCCAAAGGCACGTTATATTTGCATTATAAAGGGTTACGGCGCCGAGGAATATTATCCAGCTCGGTTTTACACGTAAATTAATAATTAAATAATAAGAATATATTAGGGGCCTATGAATTTCGATAACATAAAGACGTATAAATTGATATAAAATTATTCTTGCATAAGCAAAGTGTTCTATCTCCTGTTAAATTTTTTTTCCAACGCAGACGCAATTTTCTTTTGTATCCTTACGCAAAAGCATGTAAGATCACGTCCACGAATTAGCGTAATAACGTTAGAAGTATTTCAACCAATTTTCTGACACAGTGAACACAGAATAGCGCAATGACATCGAGATGTGAGTCGAAATACAGCTCTCTCGACGGACGTAAGTACGCGGATGTGAGTTTACGACGTCACTGCATACCTGCGCGCGTATAATTGTAACTGCGAGGCAATACCTATCGCGCCGATATTATGCAACCCGTGAGAAACGAGCGTGTGGGCCCGCGCTCTTACCGTGGTCGCGTGGTCGCACCGGTCCCCGCCATATATAGGGGTCCCAGGAACCGCCCGTGTAAACGGCTTTAAGAGAGCAACAAGCTTGGGAACCCTCCAGATATATTCGCCAGCTGGAATGTTATACGATAGGTTTTGTCCGTATCGCGCGATCGTGCGAGCGCTCTCGGCTGAATTCGGAGTATTCAGCCGCGGTGCACGTCCTAATGATGTCATATCTCCGAGTTTCTCGTTGCCGACGCAGCCACACACAGCCACAATTGCATCAGAATCGTTGAATTAGAAAATCAGACGTACTTATCTTCCGACCAATTATTTTTTCTCAAAATGGTAAAGTGAATCGGAGAATGAATATGCAAACTTACAAAATTGAAACATTTTTCTACAATTTTAAGTGAAATTAAAATATTGAGCCATTATTATACCTTGCTTTCTAAAATGCGTTAAGTTGATACAGATAGAAATTCAATTTCTGGTGAAATTTACTTCCTTTTCTATTAACTTTCATATCTTGCGATCAGAATATTTTCTTATCTTTCACTACAATATTTCTTCTTGCAATAATATACTGTGTTGTGTGTATTCTACTAAATCGGGCGATAGCTTATCAAGATAATAAGTTACACTGAGTTGTTCCGCTATAAACAACTTACGGAACGCAATTAATTAACGCGCTATCGGTTTTTGTGTTTCGTGACGCAACCAATGCAATAGAATTTACATAATCCGAAATGCAATTTAAATTGCAGGCAAGTGCAGCTGTCAATCCGTGCTGTTCGTGAAAAGAATTTCAGACACGAAAGCGGAAGACACAACACGCAGATGGGTAATGTCTCCGTCGTTTATTATTTATTTCAGAGACGTTTTTATTTCGCAATCGCCCGTAACACGCGCTATTTCATTTTGCATTATTCTACCTTCCAAATTACGATCGGAATTGCGTTTACTCAGAGATTCATTACCATCCGACTGGTATCTCATCGATAATCCATAAATTGCCTATTGCACTCGAGCCAAATTTGCATAGCTGCGCACACATTGTAGGACCGGATCTCCCACGCGCAATATAAAACGCAATTCCAATTCCAAAATAGCAATTTGCCATAAAGAAACATTTAATATCCTATAAAGAAACATTTAATATCCTTTTATAACAAATAGAGGATAAATATCGGAGTTAGCAAAAAAAAAGGCATTTCTTGTGGGCAGTTTATCCTACTTTTTTTTTTCCTTCTGTGAGTAACTGCACCTCAGCGTGTGTGGCTTTAACTAATGACCGCTTCAATTGTCAACGGTGTCGGAATCCGGGCCCTCACAATTAAAGTGACAAATGAGCATGCGCGGGGGCCAGCTCGAAGAATTCGCGACAATACACCGTTCTCGACGTTGGAGGAGCGTTGTCCGTCGCGTCGTCAACGAGCTTAGAGAACACGAAGGTGTAGGATACGTGGAAACTGGAGGAGAGGCAACCGCACACCACCTTCGGCTAGTCACTCCTCCGTCTTCACGGAGATTAATGGTAGAAGATGGTATGCAACGCGGAGAGCGAGACAGGCTCTCTGTTCTATCCGATCGCTGGAGGTGGGGCCCGTTCAGCGAGCTTGCATCCCCGGCGATATATTCTCTTCCGATGCCGTTTTTCAGTCGCCTAGCGACTGTTATGCTATGAAATAACGCATAAGCGTGCGCTGTACCGCACGCTTCACGAGCGAACGTCCGCGCTCAACGGCGCCATTTTCTAATCGATCATTAAAACATTTTCGAAGAAAATTACTTCTTTTGAGAAATGGAAAAGGTATTTTTATAACGTTGAAAATACATAGCAAAATTAATAACTTTTTAGAGTTATCTTGTTTTAGCTCGCAACAGCTTACACATATTTATAGACGCACATGGAATTTGCGGTCTTAAAATCACAGAGATGACTTTAGAAACCGTGTTTAAAATACAAGTATCATTAATAATCGTGATACGTATATTAAATGTTAATAGCGATGAAATTAAATACGCCCAGTTGTGTTTTACCACTCTCGCAAATGTGCAGATGAATTAAATGAACCAAATACTCGCCGTATTTGCCGGCGCTCTTCCCTTTGTGAGAAATCCTCGCGGCGGAATATAGCGATCATTCTGTGAAATCATTGCGGGCGATCTGGAGAGGCAATTTGCGCGAATTTCTACACACACGGCTTTTACACGTATTGCGCTTGTCGTCCCAGCGAATTATTACGCACCGCGATTATTGCTAATAGCCGCGGGCTATTCTCGTGGGACACACATAAACGTCGCTGTCGTTTAAGTAAAGCGTACCAACGAGCGACCTGACGTGGAAATCGAGGGAGATACGATCGATAAAGCGCGACGAGGAGAAGGGAAAAAGGCGTAGCAATTAAGCCGCGATCAAATCTCGAGCAATTAACAGCGAGTCGCTCCGCATGATATGTATGTCATATCGATCGCGGTCATTTACATACTATTCAAAGTTTATTACGCGTTTATATCTACGTGTTCGGTACGATAAACCCTCCGGAGAAGATTGCGCGATATGTCAAAGGTGAATTAGTGGTCTAGCCAGTGATGCAAGAAACAAAAAATCGAATTTGCAATTAACATTTATCACGATTCACGTCACGTGACACATCACGATTATGTCAAGACCAATACGAATACTAAATGATTAAAGCAAAATACCGCAATAAAAAAGTTATTCCTTTTTCTGTTTAATTTTATTAATCCTAAAAGACAAAAACAAAAATGATTAATTTTGCAAAGTATTTCTATGTTAAGAAAAATATCTCTTCTGCTTCTGAAAGAATAACTTTTTAAAATTAATTATGCAATAATAAACAAAAGAAAAAATATAATATTTCGGATTGTTATCTGAAAAAAGCTTTCCCAGATCGTAAACGCGAAGAGGATCGAAGATATGATTTCTCGGAATATTCATAGCGCAGTAGCTCGTTAACGATTCAACATGAATCGCGAAGTATATGGTCGTGTCTAGAGAAGAAGAGAAACAACAAGAAGAGAGAAGGGTGGGCTCTCACGTGTATGCCAATTTATGCATACTTGACCGGACAACACCCACATGGCTTCGTGAATGTTCAGATGCGTCGAAGAGCTATCGATTGGCGCGACGAGGATCTCGAACTTTGGATCCCTGAGATGCAACGTTTGAAACTCTGCGAAATCAAATCGTTTGAGTAGCGAAATGGCAAGACAATTTTCCGATTCTAAAATATGTAGAAACACACCAAGATCTTGTTTCCAGCATTTATAAATTAATACGATTTTTTAATTCTTCAAAACAATGGCCGCAATGTTTTAAATAGAACTCACTTGATCCGCATTTAACTCCACGGTAATATAACAGAAACGAGGAAAGAGGACGACGCTGAGAGCATCGATTTGGGGTGCGGGGAGGACCTGGCGTTT